CAGGTGCAGAGAAGGTGTGGAGGCTACCACCTCCCACTTACTCCAGCTCCCAAACCACATACCCACTGCCCTTGATTCCAAATCACAGCGACCCCATGTGTGTCAGAGTAGAACCGAGCTGCAGAGGGTTTTACTGGCTGTAATCTGAATGGAAGCACATTGCCAGGACTTTCTTCTGCAGCCCTGCTGGGTGGATTTGAGCTGCCAAGCTTTAGGTTAGTAGTTGAGCACAAACTGCGCCACCAGGGACCTTACTTGAACTCAGGGATTAGCAGATTTTTTCTGTAAATAGTCTTGGCTTTCCAGGCCAGACTACTTACAGAGAGACTACTCAGCTCTGCCGTTGCAGTGCGAAAGGAGCCACGGGCAATACATAAATGAATGGGCATGGCTGCATGCCAATAAAACTTTATTTACAAACACAAGTGGAGGGCCGGATGTGGCCCATGGGCTGTATGCTGCCATCTCTTGCTCTAGGAGGACACTAGACTCAAAACAACTCATCTCTGACACTCTGTCCCTTGAGGAATGGCATTTGTTTAAATGTCACCTCCTTTGAAGAATGTGCCTGCTAACCCTGCCTCTCTGCCCCTATTCTCGCCCATGCATCAAAGCTGTATTTATAGTCCTTTAGGTCTTCACTGTGGAGTCCTGGGTGATGCAAATGGTTAAGCCCTTGACTACTAACCAAAAGGTTGGTGGTTTGAATCCACCCAGAGGTGCCTCAGAAGAAAGGCCTGGTGATCTGCATCTGAAAGTTCACGGCCTTGAAAACCCTATGGAGCAGTTCTACTCTGCATACACGGGGTCACCACGATTCAGATTTGACTTGATGGCAATTGGTTTGTTTTTTTTTTTGGTAACGTCTTCAGAGCCCACCAGCTTCCCTGGACTCCACACTCCAGAGAGCAGGGATCGTGTCCACTGTTGGCTCTCCACCACCACCCAGGGCCTGGCACCAGGATCTTGCAGGACAGGACACCTGCCCAGTCTCCAGCGCACAGACCCATTAGTTCTGCACGGTCAAACGTTTGCAATCTGCTCCTTCAGTCCAGCCCAGCTTCTGAGCCCTGGCCACATCAGGCGATGCTCTGTCTCAAATTGCCAGTTTTACAAGGTTCCTCAGAGCCGGGGAAACAACAGGCCATCTGCAGCTGCCCGTGAAGCCAGCGTCGGAGAGCCCAGTGCTGGCTGCACCTCCATCCTCGGCTGAAGGGAGAGGGTATGTCGGCCGGGGGGAAGGCGCGGGGTTGGCGACCAGCCTGGAAGAGCCAGGGAAAGCATCACCTCGGGTGGCTGGCCACGTGGGGACAGCTTTCGCGACTCTGGGAGAAAGAGGCACTACCTTCGTGGAAAGTGGCAGCTGGCTGAGCGTCTGGGCCCCTGGGATGAGCGAGCCGCTGGCGAAACTTCGATTCCACCAAAACTGTCTTGGGCGTGGCCGGACTCTGCCTGTCAGCGCACCCCCACGCCTGGTGTTGTCTCCCACGCAGCCCGATGGGGGCAGGCCCTGGTGACGCTGAAGGACACCAGAGGCCGAGCCTTGCAGAGGAGACTCTGAGAAGGGCTGAGGGTGGGAGAAGCCAGATGGAGATTCAGTCCCAGGTGAAGGTGAATTTGACGTCCCCTCTGCTGAGGACATGCCACCCGGTGGGCGGACGAGGGCACCCCACCACAGAGGAGAAACCCAGGGAGGTGCAGCCCCGTCCACGGCCACAGGCTGCCTCGTGGGCCGCCAGGACCCCACTCTCCTGTGTTCTCCGAATTGAATCTCCTTGGGGGGCTTCTCGTCAGCTCCCTCCCAGGCGTCCTAGCCCGGGCGCCCAGGGCTCAGTCCCCTCCTCGTCCCCACCTGCACTCTTGGTCCAACCCACAGCTTCAAATAAACCACCTTAGAGTCCATCCCTGGCCATGCGGGCCCCTCCTCTGCCCCTCAGCCTCTTCACATGGGGGTCTAGATTCCACACGGAACTGCCAGTCTCTCCCAACCCCACTGGGGGAGAGCACCATCCTCCCAGGTGTTCAGCTGATAAACGTCGTCAGGCCTTTCTCCAAGTCGACCTCTCCTCCTCTCAGCCCCTCCCCACACCCAATCTGTCATCAAATCCCATCAGCTCTGCTTTCAAAATGCACCCAGATCCACCCACTTCTCCCTCCTCTGTCCCCACCTGCTCCAGCCCCATCATTGCCCACCTGGACCAGAGCAGTCACCTCTGCCCTGGTCCCCTGGCTCCGCCCTCGCCCCCCACAGTCTGTTCCCCCCACAGCCCCCAGAGGGCGCCCCTGAGCGCCTGAGTCAGTGTCCGTCCCTCCTCTGGGGCTCCCATCTCCCTTGGGTGAAAGCCTGAGTCCTCCCCGAAGCCCAGAAGGCCCTGCACGACCTCCCCGTCCCCTCCTGTCCTCCCCCACTCCTCTCTCCCATCGCTCACTCCGCTCCAGCCACACGGGCCTCCTTGCTGTTCCTCCAACTCACCAGGCCTGGTCCTGCTCCAGGGCCTTTGCACAGGCTGTGCCCGCTGCCTGGACTGCCCTGTCCCCGATGTCCCGTGATTCCTTCCCTCATCTTCTCCGGGACCACCCTTAAAACTGCAAACACAGCCCAGTCCCAACACACCCTGGTGCCTTTCCCAGTTTTACTCTTGCCCTTGCTCCTGGCACCCTACATGCTCACTCAGCTGGTGCCTGCCTCTCCCGCCAGGCAGCCAGCTCCCGGGGCACGGGGCTGGGCTTGCAGCAGTTGCCCTCGGCCTTGCTCAGAGACAAGGGTCACGGGTGCCCGGGTCCCAGCCTGGCCCTGGGTGGTGGGGCTCTGCCGTCCTGGCGTGTCCAACTGCCCCCACCTCTACTGACGCCCCCAGGGCTCTGCGTCAGCGGGGTTGGGGCTGGGTGCTGGGGGGAGGGGGCAGCAGCATGGGCCCTGGAATAAGTGAGGGGCTCAGATGAAGACGAGGGGGCCCAGAGCCCCTACAGAGCCTCAAGGGCAACTCACAGTGGGGACACACTGCCCCAGCCACCCTGCCATATGCCTGCTCTGACCTTGTAGAGAGATGAGGGCCGGACTCCTAGCAACCCCATGTGACAGTAGAGCTGCCCCGTGGGGTCTTCTAGGCTGCAATCTTTACGGGAGCAGATCACCAAGGCTTTCTCCCAGAGCCGCTGAGTAGGTTTGAACTGCCAACCTTCCGGATGGCAGCCGAGCACTTAACCGTTTTGCCACTGGGGCTCCTTGAGAGGGGAGGGGTCTGATAACAGACTTCGGTTCTGGAACTTTCACCAGACCCACAGCGCCATCAGCCTGCAGCCGAGAGTGGGCGCTGAAGGGGCACCCTATGCACCCACCCGCCCCATTTGTCCAGCAGAGCCCCACCCCCGCCCACCACCCGCGGCACCAGGTGGGGAATGAAGACACGTCCAAAGCCGGGGCCGTAACTCCACGGTGGGTGCTTGAGAGCCTTTCATTCACAGGGGCCCGAGGCAGGGAGGGGGCAGGATACATCATACTGTCCCGAATCTGTGGGGCCGGGGGAACAGGGGTGTTTTTTTTTCACGTGGTAAGACACAATCTTTGTGGGGACAATGTGCATCTCCGTTTGCCGTCAGGTGGCCGACTGGCCGCCCGCCCCTTAAGTCCACGCGGGGGCGGGGAGAGCTTCGGGGTGGGGTGACCCTGCCTTCTCCCCTTTGCAGCACGAGCAGCACTTCTCAGCCACAGGGACACGCGTCGGTGCCCCGCCCGCCCGGCGGCCTGGTGCATGCACGGGGGACCTGCTGCGGTGACCCCCAGGCTCCCCACCCACCCACTCAGGGCTCACCGCCCCTCCCCCTACAGCTTTACCCTCGCTCCGGCTTTCTGAAATCCTTCTGTCTGGTCTGGCAACTGGTAGAACATTCTTTTTAAAAAACGTTTATTTTTCATACAAGCACATTCTCCCTTCCATCGCTCGAGGGACAGCTGGGCGGAGGGCTCGCTAATGCGGAGGGGCGTGGGGGCAGGGAGCCGCGGTCCTCCTGTGATGTCGGAGGATGCCCACCTACACCTGGAGAGGCCAACTCCCTTCACGTGGAAGCCCTCCCTCTCTCCCTCCGTCTCTCAGACACACGTCCACACATCACAAAGGGACGCTGGGTTAGAGGGAGCCGCCCACAGTGGACACAGGAGCTGAGGATGCCTGGGCCGTGGACCGGCGTGGCTTCATCCGGGAATGGACAGAAGGACTGGGCCCCACGGCCGCCCCATGCCCCAGGTCTCACCCCACCAGCCACGCAACTCCTGCTCCAGAAGCACCCACACTCGTGGCTGAGCCATGCACACTCTGGGGGGCCCTTGGCCCAGTGGTCTCTCAGAAGCACCTCAGGGCACTGGGAACACTTCACCATGAAGGAGACGCTCGTGTCCGAGGCCTCTGCTGTAGGGGAAGAAGCAAAGACCGATCAAACGGGAAGAGAAAGTGTTTATTTTGCAAAGGCGTGAGCAATGGGACGGAGGCTGCTGGCCGAGCACACGCGGCTGCCCACCGACGTGGCCGGTGGTCTCCTCTGACCAGGTAGGGGGGACGCGCCGGCACAGTGGCGGGCGAAGGAAAGTCTGCAGGTCGGGGCGGCCGGAGCGAGACCACGTGGGCGCCGGGGCCCGGGCCGGGGATCGTGTTCTGCCAGCCCGCCCGCC